TAAGAGTTTCTTGAGCTGGAAAATTCAGGTTTAGTGGCCCTTCTGCAAAAATTATAACACTATAACTGCTGCAAACCAGATCATGATCCAGACATAAACAAGTGGCTGTATCATTCGATTTGATTATCTGTTTTGCATATTGCTGTTGTGAGGTGCATAAATTGACTTTTATGGCACATGCTAAAGCTGAGCAAAATCTTTATAGCATACAATGATTGGCAGGTTCCCATTACATGGAAGGCAGCTCCCCTGGACCCTGTTGGCAGAATCAGAATTTTAATTCATAACCAAAGGCATAGTATCCTACCATATCTCGGTTCACCTCTCTCTTTGGTCATAAATTTCCAACGCAGGGAAGGGGTTGCCCGGAGGAATACACACCTGACCAGAATGTCTGCAATTTGGATGCATCTAGGGTAAGAAACAAAGAAAGATTTTATGGCTGCAATTTACAGCTATGGGGATTCAACTTATTAGGACTTGATTTAGCAAAGTGGCTTAGATTCTACTGTCTTAAGTGCAGGGTTTAAAGTTTCTGGGTTCACTTCCAAGAGTCTTGGTCAAAAGTGTCACCAATGCTATCTTTAACTTACTGGTTTCCTCATGTGATGTGAAAGAAACACTGGATTTGTCATTACTTTATTCCTGGAACATATTCCTCATCTAAATTTCACATGCATTTTCGGTAGAGTTAATACCTTCCTCAATTTGTATAAAAAGTAAAATGAAGAGAAAAAAACCTTCCTCAATTAGTCAATTTGTTTTTGGAGAATAATGTTTTCAGCTAATCAATTCGTAGTATTGCGTTTATGCGAGTATCTACAGAGTACATGGTTCATTCATGCTCAACAACATATGCATTGTCAATGTAAAATGATAATCAATCAATCAACCTCGATTTGAAGAAATTTCCAGCATCTATTCGTCTCCAAAGAATTTAACTGCAATACAGGCAACCCAATGAGAAGTTAGAACGGAAAGGAAAACGACTGTGAAAGAATATAATACAAAGCATAAGCTCCTAAAATAAAAATTTAAGGAATACATGAGATATAAAAGCATATATATTACATAACCAGATACCTCATAATTCATATTTGAAAAAGAAGAACAGATGGTGATATGGTTAAATCATCAAGAACAGGATAGGCACTTAAAGAATGTTGAAGATGATGAGGGATTGGAGAAATTCTCCAATGTGATTATTTTAACAACTTGTGCACATCTTAGCAGTCTTACACAAGGTATAATTCCCTCATGGAGAAAGTGAGGCCTCTGATCAAGATGAGTAGTCTTAGCTTCTTGTTTAAAAATACCCCACCCTCACCAAACACCCAAAAGGAAAAGTCGTCTTGTTTTGGAATAATTTGAGAGAATCCTGAATTTGAAATTCTATATTGACAACATTTGGACAATCAGATGACCATGATATTCTCAATGGTGGGTTATGATACATGAATGTAAATCAAAGAGCCATGAAATGTAAGGTCTGCTTTACTTGATCCTGATTATCTTGGGGCTGATCCAGAAAGAATAATATTGGTGCATCAGATGAAATGAAACCCTTGCAGGGTTTTTTTTCTTTCTTTTTTGGTTTATAGGCCTCAAAAAGAAAAGATATTTCATAGGAGAAAACGTGGCTATTGAAAACTGCATTGGCAATGCAGTTTTAGATTCTAATTCGCCATCCATGCAACATTATTGAGGTTAAGCATCTTTATCCTGTGTTTTAGCTCCATCTACGCTTCTATTATTGCCGTATAATTCTTTTTTCTACATTTCATATCCCGACTAGACATACTTTCTTTCCCCAGTTGCACCTACAACTCTGCTTGCACGATCCCTTTATATTACCTTCCATCCATATACACATCCCACATCCAAACTCAACTACTGTTACTCAACTCATCTCCTCATCTGGCTCTGGCCATATTGTTTTGCCAATACCATCTGCCTTGTAATTCCTTTTCTTGGAAAATCTAATAAGAAAAGTCACATTAACAAGCTCGACAATACGGAGAACTTGAAGCAAAGTGGGCTGACAGGGTTGGAAGAACTTATATTATTTCATTGGAGAATGAATGGCAAAAAGGGCAGTGTTGAGATCAACATTCCACCAGCTGCTAAAGCCAAGCAGCCAGAAGTTATCAAGAAATCCAGCTTCCAGGGCTTTTCCTGCAAAGCTTGGATATGGAATGTTTGGGAATTTTGCAAAGAAGATAGTAACAGAGTAACATTCTCATTCAAAGTGGGACTGGCCGTTCTACTGGTTTCTTTGCTTATACTACTACAAGGACCTTACGAAATTTTTGGCACCAACATCATTTGGTCCATCCTCACAGTTGCAATCATGTTTGAATACACAGTTGGTATGTATGTGCATGTCGTCATGCAACACGATTCATGTTCATAGCATCATGCATAAACCAAACAGCATGAAAAGACTAAGCTACATGCATGTTATGCACACATTTTCGCCAGTAAACACAGCTATCATACATATTTCAGCAGAGAAATACATGTTTCACTCCTATATAGTAAATACAAAAGTAAGGATGTTTTTTCTAACTGTTGTGAATTCTCTCTAGGTGCCACTTTCAACCGAGGATTCAACCGAGCACTTGGAAGCTTGCTTGCGGGAATCTTAGCTATTGCAGTTGCTCAGTTAGCTCTACACGCTGGCCGGGTTGCTGAGCCTATAATAATTGGGATAAGCATCTTCTTTATCGGTATATCTATGAAATACTTTTGTTTTAATCGCTGTACTCTTAAAATGAAAGGGAAAAAAAAAACAAAAAGTAGAAATCAACATACTAATTTCAGGGATATTTGTTCAACGTTCTGTACAGGGGCTATTACATCATTCATGAAACTATGGCCATCATTTGTTCCTTATGAATATGGTTTCCGGGTCATACTCTTCACCTATTGCCTGATAATAGTCACTGGATATCGAATGGGGAACCCAATTAGAACTGCCATGGATAGGCTGTACTCTATTGCCATTGGAGGTTTTGTAGCAATCTTCGTGAACGTGCTTGTTTTCCCTATATGGGCTGGGGAGCAATTACACAAAGAGCTAGTCAACAGCTTTAACTCGCTTGCTGACGCTCTTGAAGGTAAGCTGATTTGAAAACTCTCTCAAATCCCTTTGTATCTATAATTGGAATAGGTCATAACTTTAATGACAGTTAAAAGTGCTATATATCTATAATTGGAACTGATATCAAAGAACTCGTAATGGAAATTTCAGAATGTGTGAAGAAATATTTAGAAGATGACGGGTTAGATCATCCAGAATTCTCCAAGACAGTTATGGATGAGTTCCCAGACGAACCTGCCTACAGAAAATGCCGAACCACATTGAACTCTTCAGCCAAATTGGAATCCCTGGTAATTTATTCTATGTTCCATGCATATATTCTTTTTTCTTTCCATATCATGTTTTCTGGTTTTATCACCATTTGAGTGCGCTTGAAATCATCCTAATTCTCCCTGGTTCCAATCATTAGGCTAATGCAGCAAAATGGGAACCCCCACATGGCAGGTTCCAGCACTTCTTCTACCCATGGTCAGAGTATGTTAAAGTTGGAGCAGTTCTACGATGCTGTGCTTATGAGGTTATGGCACTCCATGGAGTTCTCCACTCTGAGATTCAGGTATTCCTCCCCTCCCCTTCTCTTTTGTGCGCTTACACGTACGAGTGTTGCCACTTTTCCATAGAAAATATAGATAGGATATTCACCTTTCCAATTTGGCAGAATCAGAACCATTTCCATAGGATTGCTGGCAGGCCTGGAATATACCTAAGACTGCAACCTGAAACTTACATCAGTGGTCTAGATTGATCGTAACAAAGGAATTAGGAATACTAAAAAGGTGAAAAGAGAGTATAAGGTCCACCAATCAAAATGGTTAGGAATTATATACTATGCATTTGTTCTCGAATTGTACTATGCATTTAAGTGAATCGCACACGAATATTGGCTCACTGAGTCTAAAATGCTGAAGCTATTCCTTTTTTGTTTATTCTTTGTTCTCATATCTAATATAAGTGGCAATGTTGCCACAATTATTGGCATACAAGGATTCCTATGAACTTGGTTCATATCAAACTGCGTGAGAGAAAACAGGAAATCTTTATCCACATCATTAGGGACAGAACTCTGCTAAGCATGTTGTAAAGAAAACAACCTTTTGGACAACGGGCTTTGCCCAATTCTGTCCAAAACAAAGCCTAAAACATTTTCTCGAGGGGTGCCAACACCTTGCCGGAGCTTCCCTCGTTGGAGGCTTGAGCAGCCTCTGTTTGGTGGCTGCCTTTTTAAATATGAAGCTTCAAATGTATATTAGAAATTTTTAGTATATTATGGGAAGGCAGATCATCAACGGCAAGGCTGCGTCCTCGTGGTTTTGAGAAACATAGATGGTGAGGTATGAAAGCTTTGAACCACATCATGATGTCTTTACACCAATTTAGATCAGTAGAAGTAAATAAGATAAGTTTAATATTAAGCTGATACCATAGGGCCAGAAAAAATTCAGCAAGAAGAGGGAAGTAGAATTACTTTTGCCTTTGTCAACGTGTACATGTCATTAGAAGGGATTATCAGGAGCATAGCAACTAACATGAAAAGAATTTCCAAGTTCTAGATGGCATGGTTATATTGATACTAAGCTCCTCTTCCTTGGTATTCAGGCCCCTTACAACCTCCGAATAACATTCCAGTCAGAGATCCAAGATGCAACAAACCAGGCAGCAGAGCTAGTGAGGAGCTTGGGCAAAGACATTTGCAACATGAGGCGAAGCCTCAAAAGCTCCCTCCTAAAGAGGGTTCACAGCTCAGCCGAGCGACTCCAACGTGCCATAGAGGTGCATTCATATCTCCTCACAGTGCAGTGCGACCCTCCTGATAACTCTTCTAAGCCACTTCCAAAGCTTTCTCATGCTCTATCATCAACCCTCTGTGACCTACCAGAGGAGTTGGATAACCTTGACTGCACAAGCCCTGAGAAGAGCTCGAATCAACTAACACAAAACAGGCAGTCAGGGACTCCCCCGCCAGCACAAACTGAGTCCTACCATGAGATGATGAGGAAACAATCACGAAGGCTGCATTCTTGGCCATCCAGGGAGGTGTATGCTTTCGAAGAAGAAGGAGGTTTTGGCACGGACCTTTTACCTAGGATGAGAGCACTCGAAAGCACTGCAGTGTTATCACTTGCCACCTTTACTTCCTTGCTCATTGAATTTGTAGTTAGGCTTGATCACCTGGTGGAAGCAGTTGATGAACTCTCAAAGATGGCTAAGTTCAAGCACTAGGGTCTATAGAAGGGAGAAGGGAGAGGGGGGTGTGAGTCCACACATTAACACATGTATGCGTAACTTGACGCTGTAACACCACCATATAAAACTATACCGTTAGAAAAAGGGGACCAGGGAGGGAGAGTAAAGAGGGATTTCAAAAGTTGTTGTAATAACCCAAAAATAAAGATAATTTTTCCTTTCCTTCAGAACTTCTTCTTGTTAAGCTGAAACATAAAAAACCAAAAAAAAAAACATGGAATCCACAGAAAGGAATTTCACATAGCTTTCACTATCAAGAATCCAGAGAGAGATGCTTTGGGCAAAGTCGTCGATTTAGAAACCATGGGCAACAAGCAGTTTTCAACTACTCGTTGCTGGGTTTTAGGAACAGTGGTGGCCTTTCGTTTAGAAAACGACATTGCAAGAAAGATGCGAAAGGACAATCACATGCCCTTGCTTAGTTTTGCAGGAGAACCAAACAACGAACTAATAGACCTTTGAACCAAGCATGGGTGGACGGATGAAAAACAGGAAAGTCGAGAACCAGAGAACGAAGTACGGCCAGTGGAGCAAATAAACATTTTGAAATAGATTCATCAACAGCTTTGGAAACCCAAATCATGTTTGGCAATAAAGGCTTTATTTAAATGACTAATTCAAAGTTTCCGAATAGAAGGGCAAGGGGGGGAGGAGATGCGTGGCAGACCTGCAGTGCAATTGGAATCGGGTCATCGGTTTCCCAGTGTAAAGGCTCCCATTGTCGGCTATTCGCCCCATCCTACTTCTCTATTTGCAATACACTCGCACCAAATCGTTCTTTGAAACTTTAAACTTGAAGTTTAGGACAAGCTGCTACATACTTTGAAAAATGTCTTGCCAGGAAAGGACTCCATAAGTGGTAATGAAACAAAAATTGCTAAATAGTAAATACAGTCCCAATAAAAGCTTTATTAAAACCATAATGTTCGACGAACTGACTGGCCTTACGGGCACTACCCTGTATTCACAACAACCTGCTGGACAAACGTAAATATCTACAAGAAAGAACAAAGACCTGATTCATTGCTAGCTACATCCTACTTGATCAGTGATCCCCCAAATTGTGACATGAGCAATAGAGCTCTTTTGTTCTCACGATCTAGACCAATGAATAACGACAGCTTTCTAACACTTACGGACTGACAAACTAGAAGCAAAGGACACAAACAAGCAGTGACACAGGGCCAACTTCCATGACCAATTTGATAATAGCCGTGAAATAAACTTACATCCAGCTCTGGGTCACCATAAAAGATTTACTTGGCTCTGATGGATCACAAGCCAAACCCTCACTGTTGCCTGAGCCAGAACCAGAACCACCTGCTAGCATTGCCATCAGACTCCCACCATGCACCCTACCTTCAGGAACAAAAACAGAGAAGCCTCCTTCCCCAACAGAGATATGAGCATTTGGAACCTCATACTGATTCAAACTAGAACAAGTTCTGCCTGCTGAAGCTTCCATGTCACTCCCCATTTTCATGATGTCAACATTCATGTCCTCAGCAGTGACAATCTCTTTCATCTTCTCGGACTTGCTAACTTTGGGGTCTTGGACAATAGGCCCCAGTGTTGCCCCCCCATGCACCCTCTTATCCTGAACCAGGCCACTGTGGAGTGCACAGAGACCTGTCTTGCCCCTTGCAAAAGAGTTACAAGGACCAGAAAGTTGGTTGCCATATTCTGATCCAGGGTGACCCCAGGAGCATCTCTTCCCTCCACCATGTGCCTTGCAGAAATCCGTGCTACCTTGTGCACTTTTGCCACACCCTTCAAACTTGCATCTCTTGCCTCCACCATGACGAACACAATAATCAGTACGTCCCCTAGCACTCTTTGTGCATTCAGGCACAGCACACCTCTTACCTCCTCCATGTGCTACACAAAAGTTGGTTCCTCCATGCACACTCTTTGTACAAACCCCACCACCTTGGAATGCACATCTTTTCCCCCCTCCATGACCCTTACAGAAAGGGGTACTCCCTTCAGCGCCCTTAGTACACTCTGGGTATGTGCATCGTTTTCCACCACCATGTGCCTTGCAGAACATGGTGCTCCCTTGTGCCCCTTTTGTGCATCCCAAATATTGGCACCGACGGCCACCTCCATGTGAGATGCAGAGTCCTGAGAGGCCTTCAGCACTGCTTTGTACAATTTTCTTTTGACATCTCTTCCCACCACCATGACGTATACATAGTCCAGATTTCCCTCTGGCAGCTCGAGTGCAACCCTGATGACTACATCTCCGACCACCACCATGGGCAATACAGAAATCAGTGCGACCTTCTGCACTCTTTGTGCAACCAAGAAATTCACATCGCCGACCACCACAATGGCCTTGCAGTAACAGTCCGGCCTTCTGCCCCCTTATGGCAGCCATGTTTTTGACACCTCCTGCCACCACCATGAGATATGCAACGGCCAGAAGCACCTCTGGCCCCCTTCCCACATCCTTCAACCTGACATGTCTTCGAACTAGAGCTACGTTGTTGTGGCTGTTGTTGCCGTGTTATCCCGGAAGTGCAGGTGACTGAGCTTTTTGGTGTAGTAATCACGCTTGAAGAGAGGTCTGGAACAATGGGAGTAAGATCAATGCTTCTTGGCACCTCCTTGAAGAAGATGCTAGTCTGTTTTCCTGGAAACCTCTGCAATGGAGGCAAAGCCATCCAGTTTTCCAACAACATGAAGTAGATCCTTCATCTGCATTTGGAGCACCATCAACTGCTATTGGCATCTCCATACCCGACTGAATAGGAGAAGTGCTAAGATGAACACTAGTTATACCAGATTCAGAAGGCCCAGTGGAAAGACTTAACTCCAGGTCAACTTTTGGCTGCAACTCCAGTCCTTTCAGATTTGGACTAGCATGTTTCTTGAGGTTGTTTACCTTTTCATTTCCAAGATGGAGGGTAAAATCCAACTCAATACATTGAGGATTCTTCATCAGCTTCTTTGGCTGAAGATGTGGTAGTACAAGCAGTTGTTGAACTCCCTTGCTGTCTGAGGAACTTGAGGAGCGCGCCAGTCAAAGAGACAATGACGACCCAACTTGCTCACTGACGAAGCCATCCATCAAACTCCACTTCCGCTTGGTTCCCTTTGATGTGGACATGTAAGGGATCGAAGACCAGGGGAATCAAGACGTAGAACAGTATCCGTGCTACATGCAACCCCAGTTCTTCCAACTTGCATCGAGCTACCCAAAATTTTGAATGCATTTGAAGAATAATTAGCAGTAAATCCCAAATTTGAGAACCTGGCATCCATCTAGCGATAGCTGAAAGCAAATAATGAAATGCAGACCAAATCTCAATTGCAATAGAGCAGTCAACCTGACTTCCGGGAGATGACAATAAGCCACAAAACTAGCGTTAGACGTCGCTGAGTGAGTAAATCCCACCCCACTAACAAATCCTGAAGTGTCACAGCGATCACTTTTGCTTAAGTGTGATTTAACCTAAAATTTAACCAGTCAGTTGTAGCAAAAGAAGATAAATCTGTGCAGACCAGACACCTTTACAACAACATCATGGTGCACCACCATCCTGTTTCAAAATAAAATAAGAAAGTTGTAGCTTAATAAAATAGACTGCAACTAGATTTGGAATAAGCAAAAGTTAAAAATTGGTAAAGGAAAATTAGATTCTTATCAAGCTAACATCTGCAGTTTTTAAAAAGGTTCCATCTCCAAAATATAATGTCCTTAACGTGCATATATATGTTGACAGGATGGAAGTAGAACCTTATTACTCCAGACACAAAGTGCGAACAAAAGTCATCAGCCAGCCAAAGCAGACAGCAACAGAGTTGAGGACGGACAAATCTGAATTATCAGGAGGGGGAAAAAAAAGACAGCAGTATAAATACATAAAGCCAGGCATAACTTAGCTTGTGATTAGGTGGAAAAAATGCCAAATAAGCAGAAGTAGAAAAGGGGAAATTTTTATCATTTTCTTAAACGAGTTAGTTCATGTGAAGTGGTAACAACTTAGCAGAAAAAATGAAAATTTCAACAAATTTAGATAGTATTCAAATGCAGGAGAACTAAAGAAGAAATTTAAAGCAAGCTATGCACCTGAAATAGATAAGAAAATTTGATTTAATAAGACAGGAACAAATTCACTTTATTATTCTGCTTTCAGGATATTTCAAGTTTGTTTTTTTTTTTAAGAGCCTTCAGGATATTTCAAGTAATGCAAAATATGGCAATCTGATCCTCTTTTCCTCGACTTATAAGCAGCCAAATATGAATCAGAAATGGGGTTAGAAGCCAAGGTGATAAATCAAATAATAGCATTCAAAACAGAAAACATAATACTAGCAAAAATATGTTACAGTTTCATTAGTGAGAAAGTAAGAAAAACCAAGTTAAAAAAAAATGAAAAAAGAAAAAGATGGCCTCTAGCTCTAATAGCATAATTTTATTCACTTAACCTCCCCTCGAGCTAAGATGTGATTTCAAGACAAAAACATAGGAATTATTTTGCAAAAATTTGAAAATTGGAAGGAAGAAACTTACTCAAATTATGAATAGATATGTATGAAGAGCTCCAACTTTATAAGGTATTTATCCAGAATTCCTACAAAAAAAATATGAGTAAACAGTATATAACTGAAGCAAGCAATAAAAAAAAATAATAATAATAAAGAACAATCTGAGTCGAGATCTATGAAAAAATTGAGACCGAATTCCTAATGGCAAAATGAATAACTAAAAAAGGAAAAATAGCTTAATCTTTTAACAAATAATTTAAAAATTAAACGGACTTTTATAAGAAATAGATGCAGAGTTTACAGGATTTGCATTAGTTAATATATTAGCTAAAACAATAACTTTACAACAAATCCTGATAAAAATGAGATATACCGGATAGAAAACCTGTTTGGTTGCTGAGAAAGCGGCAGTGTTAAGGGAAAGAAAAGACAATAGCGGTTTCTTCCCTCATGATTTCAAAACAAAACTTTTCAGCTCAAGTAAGAGAAATTGGATTCAAACTCAATGGACGTTTTCTAAAAATCCACGTCTCTTCGTTAAATACAGAAAAGAAAACATAACAAAACGAACTATTTTTAGTTAATTTTCACTAAGCTTTTGAGTTTCTCGGCAACCAAACAGAGCCAGATATAAAAGATGCACAAGACCGTCATTCAAAAAAAAAAAAACTAAGCTGTTAAAATGATTTCCAAAAAATAAAAAGAAAGCTACTTTGAACCTGGACGGGAATTTAGAGAAGGTTAAGAATTCGAAAGGAAAAACAAACCAGAATGATGAAATCCAAATTACCATGAAATTTGATTGAATTTAATCGGATAGAAGAGAAGGTGTACGGATGAGGCGTAGGGGATTTTTAGGGCTTTGGGCCGCGGCAGATAGAGAGAGAGAAAGAGAAATGAAGGCATAAATATGAAGCGAGTTAGAGAGAGAGAAAGGCAGAGAGTGGCTAGAAAGGAAGTGAAATGGTGGAATTTCAGATGGTGCTGGCACGTGTCTATGATATAGCTGCACGTGCTACAATTAGGGTTTTCAGATGTAATTAATCCATCATTATCCGTAATTTGTCCTTTTTGTTTTAATGGTGCCCCCTTTCTTAATATAATGGAATTAATTTAAAACATCATATTTTCATCTTTTTATAGTTAATTTTAGAGAGGAAAGAACTTGAATTATGAAAGAAATAGTATGTGGGTACTGTTGAAGTAATGTTTCACCCATGAATAATTCTTTTTTTTTTGTTCAAACTAGGGGCAGTCGTAAGGTTTTGCTCTTATTATATTATTTATTATCAGTGTTTCATCTACAATTATTAGATATTTAATTCCTGTATGTTTGAATGACATCTTACCCTCTTTGTCTTTACGAGTGGAACGATATCTTAGTTGTCAATCAATCAATTTTTTTTGAAATATATATTACTTAATAAAATTATATAAGTATAGAGTGCTAACAATTATTACGGCGCAATGCACTTACTTTGTTTAATTCATTTAAAATTCATATGAAAAAATGTGATACCAGTTTTAGTATTCATATTTTTAAATAGTATTTGATAAACAATAATTATATGTGCATTGCAAATATTAATATATTTTTTAAACTTGGTTCAATTAAAAAAGTACTGAAAATAATTATGAATCATTCATTTCAAAAGAAGTAAATTTAGAATCCATTAAGTTAAAGAGAAAAATGGAAGAGAAATCCTTATCCTTTGGCTGCATGGGAACACAACTCCCTTGTCTTGAAGTATAACGTAATGGGTGATGACAGCAACAGATGGAGGCTGCTGCCTGCTGCCCCCTGCCCTGACTCTAAGGTCAGGTTCAGGGTTTGCGTGGCGACGCGATATCGAAACCCCAACCTCCCTAGTCTAGTCCACCCGCAAAAAAAATAAATTTCCCAAGACACGTCAACGTGGCACTATATTTTCTTATTGATAGTCGGCAGCGGCTCGTCACCGCTCTTTGTGCTCCATCGTCCAAGTAGCAACCTCCTCGCCTCTTCTCGTGGGCCCCACGCGCTTATTGAAAAAACCTTCGACGGTCTGTGGGCCCACTGCGTTTCTCCGTTTTATGACCGCGGCGGCTAGCGGTTTTTTTTCCACACATTATCTTTACAACCCCTTTAATGCAACCAACCTTGTCTTAACCACTCTCACCATTAGCGCGTCTAAATTAAATAAAATAAATTGATGATACTTAAAAAGGAAAAAAACTTTTTGAGTTTGTTTAACTTTGAAAAATATTATTAGTATTTGCATGATGCTATTTTGGTCCAAAAGAATAAGTCAATAAATTGAAATAATAGCATGAAAAGTAAACCTATTACATAAATAAAGGCCTCTAGACGCGTAGAGGTCATACAAGAAAAGAAAAAAAATATTAAAGAAAGAAAAAGAGTGGTAGAAAGAGAGAGTAAAAAACAGCTGGAAAGAAGTCCATGCGCAACGCCCTAATTATAATGCACAGGTCATAGTTTAGTACTGTCAATTTTAACCTCTATTTGTTTTGGGTAAAATATTTTTCAAAAAATATTTTTAAGATTTATACTTATTTAGAGTAAAAAAATTTATTTTAAATGTAAAATATTTTATAAGTTAACAAAAAAAAACACTTATTGATTACAGAAGATGTTTTACGTTTTTAAGAGATCTAAAGCAGTTTCCAGAGAAAAAAAAAAACTCTTATATTAAGCTTAAGAGTATATATTTGATAAAAATTAAAAAATTTTAAAATATATTAATACTTCACTTAAAAAATAATTTAAAATATTAATATTTAAATTATTAAATAGTATTAAATTAAAAAATATTTTAAATAAAATCATTTAATGTAATTAAAATTATCATTTATAAATTAATAAATCTTACTAATAATTATAATAAAAAATATTTCAATAATGATACACATTTATAAATATAAGTTTTGAATCTTGTCCATATTAGGTTTTATATGCCACCAAAGTCTTTAGCCAAACAAGCTAGACTCGCCATGGCATTGCTAGTGATGGAGGAATAAATTTTTCTTTTTAAAAAATTTATAAGTTTTGAATATTTTATACAATTGATTAATATTGATATTTTTTATTATCAATTTTTATACAATATGATTTTTAAATATATTTTGAATGTCATATATATATTTTTATTTTTATTATAATTTTATATTTTTATTTTTAATATATTTTTATATTATATATTTTATTTTATTTTTAAAAAATAATATAAATTTTATTGACAATCACAATAACTACTGAAAATAATAAAAAAATCATTCAAAATCTATACATAAAAAAATAAATTATAACATTATAAAAAGTTTTTAACAAAATAACAAAGTTAAAAAATAAAAATATTTTTAATAATATTATAAAATATAATATAATTTGATTAAATTAATTTTAAATTATAATTATATTATATTTATTGATTGCGATGTAATTATATAATTTTATATTCTAATGATTTAGCGTTTTTGCATATACGTACTGCGAGTTACACTTTAAGCAAAAACAGGGGAAAAAGTTTAAATTCAGATTCAATCAAAAGAGTGGTGCACATACATACAAGATATCAGTGATGAAAGGTCAAATCTTGTAGTCAAAAGAATCGATTCCCTTAATTTTTTTTAATCTCCCACCAAATCAGATTTCCACACGTAAAGACGCAACCCCACTGTTCGCCGTCCGATCTTCATCTCCGAGGATGGTCCCTCTGCCTAAAACGATCCATCATCACCTACCTTTTACGATTAGAAATCGTTGAACCTTGCAAGAGATATCAACTATAGTGTTAATGGGTTTGAAACATTGCCGACCTTTTCATGAATGAATTTTATATTGTGAACAGAGCCTTGGCCAGAGTTCAACATGCAGGGAGAATAGTTTATTTTCTAATGTAATACCTAACTCCTTTCTTGATGGAATTTGGACCATTGGATCTGGTCAGGTCAATCTTATAAGAATGTTTAGTGGGGATAAAGGGCTTGTCATGCTTTAATTGCAACGAAGAATATGCTGTTCAATATTCGGTTTTATTTCCTTAAGGTGCACGTGCAGTGGTGAATGCACGAGCTCCTTCATGTGACTACCAAACCAAAAGTAAAAGAGTCATTATTATTGTTTAAGATTGCATGGTTGTCTGTGTCACATGAAAAAGCTCATTGTCTGTACAGCAATCCACCAAATGGTCCCCACAAGATCTCTTCCTCCTGCCTTTCAAATCCCTTCTTCCTTTAACTGTTATGACTTCGATTATTCCCTGCTCCTCCCTCCCTCCCTCCCTCCTTCCCTCCCACAGTAGTCCTATGAAAGTTACAGGTAACTTATGGGGTTAAATAAAGTCATGGGTATTCCCAGAAAATGGTTTAACATAATCTGGAACATCAACAAGGTGGATTCTAGCATTTCTTTCCTTGTGCTGCTACACATAACTATAAATTTTTTCCACTAATGAAGCTTAATATTGTTAACAGAGGTGAAAAGAATAAGGAATGAAAGTGGAGTATGCATCGGACAGATAAGCGGAGTACGCAGCAGAAGTGGAAATAAAGAGAGGTTAATGGAGAAAGTTGGCAAAGGAAAAGGGCCAGGAAGTGGGTTTTGTCCACCTTCACAATCATCTTTTGAGGCTTGCCTTTTTGATTCTGTGTCAAAAGGTTTCATGGATGGGCATGGGTCTGCCACGTCTGTCCAAATTTTGCCCCCTCTTTATCTGCACCCTTGTATGTGTGTACACATTGTTAGCCCACACCCTGAAGAGTTAAAAAAGAAAGTGAATTCCTTAAAATTTTTTAGCCAACTTGCCCTGCTTGGCCTTCAAAGTTCTGTCATTGTGTTATATCAACCACTGATTACGATTCTTGAACAACAAGAATATCATACAGAATGCCACTATCTAATCATGTTTCAGCTCATGATTTGATTCAATACGTAACACATCCATGATATATATGTAGATATCATCAATACCAGGAGCAGAGAGCAAGTCTTGACCAAGTGCACAAAAATGTCAGACACTATATTCTCCAACCCTTAATTCACAATCTCAATCAGTGTAACAGCAGCGAAGACGAGAAAAAGAGTACCGCCAATGTAGGCAATAGCCTGCACAAGAATCAAAAGTAAGACTTCAATGGTACTTGATGGATGACATGCATATAAGAAAGCTTAATATGCTTCATTGCTTAAAGTTAAGCAGTTGCATTGAAAGGGCAAAGGAAGAAGATGTCCCTATGGCACACAATCCGCACGGTTGCTTAGATATTCCAAAAACTGAGTTAGTCCTATGGGATGACAATATGATATGTGGTGGCCTGAACATGTTGGTCCAACCATTGCACCTTTTAAAGGTACAAATACCACGATGATGCTGACTTTACATTGTTGGACTAGATGATTTATACCAAAGAATAAATCTGTCGGCTAAGATAATATGGTGATGACTGGCTCAAACCAAACTTCCATTCCATACTCAACCTATATTCCACTGAAAATTAAAGATCATTATTGACTAGATCTGCATGGGGCTTAATGGCCACGAAATAATAATTTGGAATAATTTTCCAATTATTAGGCCTGATGAGGAAAGGAATGAGACAAGGTCAGGATACTGATAACATTAAGTTTGAAATTACTCTAAACTCGACGAGGATTGTTCCAAGTCCATGTGGAATATCTTGAAGCATCGAGCTTTCCACAATATTCTTAATATTAATAATTGTAAGGAAGATTCAAGTTTTATGCTTTAGAATAAAATTATTTGTATGCACAAAAGATAAAGTTAGAGATTTTGTAATTCCATGCATGCAGTAGAAATGAGGCCTCTGATACTCTTTGCCTGGCTTAGTACTATAGAAACCAAGTGGGAACAAGGAATAGCCCAGGATGTCCCTTGATGAACGGATGAACAAGGTTGAAAGTTCCAAAAGTTACCTTCTCTGATAAAAATGTTCCCAGTAAAGAACCTCCCAAAACAGCAAGCTGTCGAAGGAATTTGCAAGTTAATCAGGTCTATAAAATAATGTATTAAATTGTAAAGAGAAAAAGTGTAAACTTTAATTGGATTGATAAGGGGCCTGATGCCTGAAGTAAATTGGTTGTTCAGCTAACTGATCTTATCAATTTTGACTTATAGATTTATATTCTGCAATTGTGATTTACATATTATAAGAGATCTGTAGCACTATTAGCATTGGGTAAGTTCTGACCTCAGAAGCATGTTTTCAGAAAAAGAAAAAACAATCTTTTTGTTTCCTGATTTTATGGTAAACTAGCAGTTTTTGCAAATATACTGTTTGTTGACAGTGGCTGCAAAGAAAAGACTATTTTTGTGTTGTTTCTTGTGTGGTAAGTATAAGTTACCAAAGTAGCAACACCATGACCAGCCAGTGCGCCTCCAATGACTCCAAAAGGTGAAGAGGCAGCTGCTAGTGCTGCATGAGAAGAAGAGAATTGTGCATAAATACAGGATTGAGAGGGAGGCAGCCGTGCTTGGTAGAGTAAGTATGAAAGACTTGACTCTAGCTTGAGAAATTCACCAGGTAAAACTTATATGATTAAAACAATCCTAATTGAATATTCCTAAACATATCAACATCTTAGTTTCAGACCGCCAAATAGCCACAAAAAGGAAATTACAAGGAAAAAAGACCAAGTGCTCTGGCATCCACACAAACAGATTTCAAGCAAATTTAGCTTGCTTTTACATGATATTTGACTTGGAAATTCTGCAATAAGAATATGAACAGCATTTTTTGATAGAAGAATTGATAAAAAAAAATTCCTTTTTCCATCATCTTTAAATAATCAACTTGTATGTTTCTGTTGACCATTAACGTGAGTTATTAAGACTGATCATGCCTATCTGCCTTGAGATATGTGGTGGTAGGTAAATGCACAGGAAATTCTATTCCACACTAAAATTCATCCAAAAAATTCACCTACTTTATATTGATCTAAAGAAGTCATTCTCAAGTCGTAAATTCAGCCATCAAAGATAGATTCATAATAATCTTTTGTGTTGAGTATGCATAACAGAGCAAAGATCCATTCTAATAGTAACAAACCCTATAGCAATTACCATTAAATGTAAATTTGCAGAATTGGAACTAACCGATTGTGGAAAAGAATGATTTATCACCCCACTCAGCAATGAAAACTAAGATGAAAGTGCTAATAACAGTGTTAGCAGCAGCTAAGATCCCAGCTCCATTTCCAGAAAATTCTGAAACTGCTAGTTCTGCCTGTTTGATACCACAAGATGTGAAACTTATTTAAATGAGTTTTAAAATGAAAAATATTACTTGAAAAAAGGACCAATATTGGAGCTTGAATCTCCAAGGCAGGTCAGATAACTTCTTAGCGCATCATATAGGGAAGTGGTAGTTTGACCTCCTTCTGTTCTTCATCCGCCTTTTGATTATCACTTGAAGCAGCATCAAGCAATGTTGAAACACCAAAATATACCTGCAGTTTGTTGAACGAGCTTAATTTTCTTCTTATGTCAGTTGGGAAAGAAATCCAAGCTACAGGTTCCTCTATAGCACATTTCTTAGCATATAATGTGCTTTCTGCATATTCACCCACAGCTAAAGTCTGAAAAGAGGATAATATACCAGAAGACACACTGCAGCAATGTCGTCAATAGGCAGATCAGCCTCACCAAACCTGAGCATTAATAGTCTAATTTAGAGAAGAATCTTATGAACCACGCATCAAGACAACTGCTGACCAAATTTTATAAAATTAATCAATTTGCATAGCCATCCTGGCTCTTTTGAACTAGTAAATTGTTTAAAAGTTTAATGATGCATTGATCTAAAAACTTTTGCAGAAAAGAAAATTTTCTCCCTTCCATTGATTTAACTTTGTGTTGCAAATGGCTGAGTTGAAACGCATCAGAAAAATCTCAAATTTATACACATTTGTTGCATTTAGTGGCATTACAATATGCATTGGGACAATTGAATTTTATCTGCCCAGGTTTCGAATATAAATAAAATCTAAAGTAAAAAACCTGAATGGAAGGAGTTCATCGACATAGTGAAAAGTTCGTCCGAGAACAACGGATATTATTGTCATTGCCCTGCACATAATAGATAAACACTTCATTTCTTTAAAAAGAAATTCCCATGTGTTTTCCAAGAGAAGCACACACCTATGAGGAATCTCATCTAATGAAAATAAAAAATGCAAAGGACTTCTAAATCACCATGCATGGGCAGAACAACATACGCAAGTGCACCAAAAGTCCCAGTGAAAACTACACCAGCAGAATTTCTAGCTGCTAAAAGTGCCTGCGTATAAAACATCCAAATCAGGGTGCACTCAACAGTCTATCTTCAGTTTGAGAACTAGGGAATTTATACACATGTGCTAATGGAAAAGAAATTGGTTAAAGGTGGATAAAAGAAATGATATAAAGAATGGATCTTCTGTTAGCACTAACAATCTATCCAAGCCAAAATGACATTGGCAAAAGACAAAGAGTTTAATGTGTCTCAATAAGAAATAAGATACAACTTTGTGCTTGTGGGAAAGAGATATGTATCTAGACAGACAAGTATACAAAATTTGACCCCATCTTAAGAATAGCATCTGAAGGAAAGATCATTTGCAGATTCTTCCTTGACACTAATAAAATATTATGAGGTTTGGTCTTACCGCAATGAAAAAGGTTTTGTCTCCTAGTTCTGAGAAAAATATCAGCAAGAATGCCTGAAATAAAAGAAAATGCTTCAATTATAGTAGTTCAAGATGTGTGTTTGTATGTGCAAACACTGTAGTCTACCAAAAGGAAATTAGCAGTGTTTTTATTCTTTCTTTTTCCTTCAAAACTTTAGAAAGGAAAGTGAATTGGGAACTAAGTACAGTTACAACTACGAGGAGGAAAAAGAACTCAAGGAGTAGCTAATGCCTCAACAATCACAATATACAGTCATATTTCCAGATTGAAAAGATCAGTTGCCTAAACATTAAATTCTAAAGGACACTGGAGTCTATTAAGTTTTAAACAGTTAACGGAAGGAAGTGCTTTAAGCTTCAATATAATTTTCCAGGTGATGCTGAATTACTATGCATAGCCCTTAATTTGAACAATAAAAGTATCATGTATAAAAGTTACAGGGAGATTTTCCTAACTGAAGCAAAACCTGTGGTAATATCACCAAGGTCCCCTATGTAAGAAATCAACTGCAACCCACTAGCAATATCTGAGACAGCAGCTGCTGGTTGTGAGCCTTGAAATGTGAACAACCCAAAAAGAACCATAAACTTTAGCAGATTGTTAAACAATGTATTTGAGATTGCCAAATTTGTAGCTATATAATTTCCCCTTCTCATGTTATAATTCACAGGTGCATGATCTGAAACACAACAGTCCTCTGATTTGTGCCCCAATGCTCGAGTCTCTTCCCCATTGTTGCAATCAACATACTTACATTCCTAGTCGAAATTGAAAAAATCAGATAAATGCACATAACAACTTGTAAGAACTCCTATATTGCAGACAGAAAGCCACCGCATTAATGCTAGGTAAAATATTTCAAAGGCAATTATCAGTCAGTCAGTAACATTAACTGATGAAAACAGAAAATTGGTACAATGATAGAACAGGAAAAACAATTTCTTTCCTACTTATAACATCCAAAAGGAAAAAGGCAGGACTAGGGTTTTGAATCAAACCTTAAAAGTAGAAATGCCATATTTTTCATTAAGGCATGATATTGTTAAACTTCACATTCTATCCTACCAAACTGAACAACAGAAAATTCAAGTACCGTATTTAAACTTCTCTAAACTGTTAAGATCATTAAAACAAAGAAGAAAAGGAACTTGATATAAGAAATCTTACCAGGCCATGCTGAAGTTCAACAACCTTTTGCTGAAAACCACCAAACCGTTCCTCACATGTGCATTCAAACCAATTTCTATAACACCTGTATTTAAAAAAAAAATCTTATTTAAATCTATAAGTGAATCGCCTTCTCCAGTCCCCACCATTTGCATTGCATTTTGGCACTTGATATTGAGAGAGTATGTTCAAATTGTATGTAATTCTTCAGTTACCAAATAGATTGGTGATTTTCTTTTTCTTCTGAAAATTATGTCATTCCAAATTGGCTTGTCCATTCTTTCTCGCACTAGACAGATATTAAAACTACCCCGATCAACCACCCACTAGTTATAAGCATTTCCCACAGGCAGCTTCTTGTGCTTATGGGTTCACCATTTGCTTTTCTTGCTAGTAACTTTTTCAGTACAAAGAGACAGGCAGGTTACAAAGAGCAAAAGGAAAAGTTCAAAAGAAAAGGAAACAAAGAAATGAAAGTATACCTGGAAAAAAGAAGGCTTTGGTGGCGAGAAGAGAGCTTGGAGAAGTACTGCTTCTTGGAGAGCGAATTAACATTCAAAGAAAGCAAATGAGAAGCGAAAGACTTGGGTGGTTTAAGACATGGAGGCAACAGCGAGTGAACAACCAATCCGCTCTCCGTGAGCGTTATGCTTCGCATTCTCTCACACTCTCTCAGCAGCTCCCTGCTTCTGTACCTCAACCTCTGGCTCTCGTTTTCGCTTTAGAAATGATGGTGTCCATAGATAAATGGATAAATAATAAAAGTCATCCCAGGATAATAGCGCCAAAGCAAATCCAGCGGTTATCTACAATTTCATGCTAACCGTCGAGTCTCGAAACCATTGCCTGGGCTTAAAATGAACCTTTGGGTCAAGAATTTTTGTTTCTATGAGATCATTGGACCAATATCCATGGGCTTTCATTAAGGACGTCAGAGAGCTTGTGAGTTCACAAAAGCCCTAAACCAAACCATGCATAAAACTACACCCATGGCCACGAGGTTTGATGTAGGCTATTTGGGTTTAATATTACAATGGTTTTCATGAAAGTTGTGGGTAACGAATTAATTTTTTTATTATTTGAAGGAGGCAGATTAGATTTTTATTTTTTTTAAAAAAATATGTATTAATTAATAAATTAAATATTAAAGTATTATAGGTAACTAATAATTTGTAATAAAAGAATTAACAACTCTTATGAAATATGATAACTTTTTAAATTCAGAAAAACATCAATAATCAGAATTTTTTAAATTCAAATAATATAAACACGATAAAAATTAAAATATAAAACGAAAAGAAAACATGATAGCAAACATACAAGTGAACAACTTAAGAGAAAACAATCCTTGAGTGACGAAGGACACTGGTTACCAACACTCATATAACTTGATATCAACCTGAAGCCTGAAATAAACTTCCCCCTCAACTGCATCGGTCATCAACGTGGCTATCCCTCGAGCCATGAAGAAATCCCCAGTTCCACCAATCACGGAGATGTCCCTTGTTTTGTTCAAGGGATCAGGCCCCGCAAATGTAATGCTTCCTCTGTGCTGAGTGGAGTTGAACGCAAACGAAAATCCTAGCCAAGCTGTGAAGTAATCTTTCCTGTCATAGAGATAAAAGCCTTGAGCCCGTCCAACCCGGGTTGAATGTAGATTGTTGTCTAAGGTAATGGGGTCATCGAAAACGACCAAGTTACCAAAATGGTTTTGTCCTGCCAAGATCGTCCTGTTGCCCCATGCAGGTGCACCCACTATGGCTGAAGTTGCATTCTTGGCATTCTTGCCATTGTAAAGAATGTCATGGAAGTAAAACACCATCTGCTTACAGGGCCGGCGCGACCGGATTTTCCTCCTATGGGTGGCGGTGGAGCTAGAGAGGAGGAGGAGCAGACAGAGCACAAGAGTTGAAATGAGTCTTGTAGTAGCCATTTCGTGTCTGCTTTGAGGATTGGCCGATTGGCTACTCCAGGGGTCAATACATAAATAGAATTTCTAAGTGAGTTTACGTAGAATAAATATTGGTTTAAACGTCATCTATATTTGGTACTTCAGATAACTTCATCACTACGCCTAGGCATAATCATTGGACCCATACGTACCCAAAAGAAAAAAAGAAATAATAATTGGTGGCACGAGGCACTAGGTGACACAACTCATGTTTTTTGAATAGATTGAGTGTTTCTAATAAAAGCAATGACGGTGCAAATAGCTTCTCACTTATCCAGGAAAAAAAATTGAACCAGCGAAGTTAGCGTACATAACATCAAAATATGTTTTTCTATCAATTGTAATTAAGATTGCTTAATTTTTTATTCGAACTATGTGCGATTCTATGATGGGTGTCAATTAATATTAACAAAAAGTTTATTCCTGTACACGTTGGGCGATTATCACTATCCTTTCAGTAATGTCCAAACTACTTACCTTATATATTTTAATCATACCTTAACTATTATTAATCATTTCCCTCGTTTTCCCCATTTGGAAATAATAAATCTCGCTTTTAGTTGGACTCACCAACCAAAGCAACAAAAACTCCAAAGCAGGTAAAGGCATCAAGTTATAAAGGATCATGTACTAATGGTTATCTTTTTTTTTTATGACAAATAATGGATGGCTATCACTTAATCAAAAAGAGTTAATTTGTCGTTATCTCGTCATGAATTAAAATTATGAATTCATAACAAGTGATCTCGAAAATCAGAGTTGAAACAAATTTAAAATTTTTTTCTTCAATAAATAAAAGAGTTTATACAATAAAGACGTTATAAAATTAAATATGATCAAACATCACGAATTAATATCGACTTTGTGTGAAAAGACATAAAAGGATGTTATTCAAAACAATTGAACAAGCCAATGACAAAAACGTAAAATAGAACGAAACCAACTTTGCAACTACTGTTCTTGATTTCTTTCTGCCCACACCACCAAGTAGACGACGACTACGTACCAACATGAGAGAGACAGAAGTAAAGCGACTGTGCTTCTGCTAAAGCATTTACAGACTTTTATTGTTTTTTACCAAACATACAGCTCTGCATAACAAAAGAAAGACGAAATATTCAGAAGGCTTAACCACAATAGAGTCTCATACAGTGTTGCCATTGATGAAACTCTTCACAGACCCAACAAACAAATATTTGGAAAATGAAAAATACAACCTGAATTTGACAATCGATTATTGGTATAGCTATCGCAAGTACTTAAACTTGCTGCCAGCATTCGTACAATTTAATATCGGTACGAAGGCGAAAGTATACTTCCCCTTCAAAGGAATCAGTCATCAAGGTAGCCACTCCTCTAGCCATGAAGAAGTCACCCGTTCCACCAATTACTGAGATATCCCTGGTCTTGTTCATCAATGGATCAGCCCCAGCAAAGTTTATGCTTCCCGTATGCTCGGTAGAATTGAAAACAAAAGAGAAGCCCAACCAAGCAGTGAAAATTTCTTTCTTATCATAGAAATAAAAGCCTTGCGCACGACCAACTGGGGTTGAATGCAAATTGTTATCTAAGGTAATTGGATCATCAAACACAACCAAATCTCCAAAATGGTTCTGTGCCGCCAAAAGGGTTCTATTGGCCCATTGTGGTGCACCTACAATGGCAGATGTTGCGTTCTTTGCATTCTTGCCATTATAAATTATGTCATGAAAATAGAACACCATGCTCTTACAAGGTTTCCTGGCCCGGACTTTTCGTGTTGTTGCAGCAGTAGATATGGAGAGGAGGGAGAGAAGGAAGAGAAGTAGCAGAAATCTCCTTGCTTCCATTTTCATTTCAGAGCAAGAAGGTTAAAAAAATATAAAAATAAAAACTATCGAATCTGTGATAGTATGCTTTGGATAAAACTTGAGCTGCATTATATAAGCTTTCAACTGCAAAACTTGTGGGTTATTCTGTTGGTTAATTAAATATGAAGTAACGGGAGGCTTTGAAGGAATGATTGGATAGCAGTAACGCCACCAAAAAGGGACTACCTTTATCCATTTAATCATTCTTCAATCTGCACCCTCAGCGTTTAACTGATCGTTTTGATAGCTTCAGATCAAAGATTAACACAATCATTGGATGCGGTGGGGAGATTTGGTAGAGCAACGTTAGTGTTCTTACTTTATGAATGAAATTATGGAATCCTTTGACTTTAGTTAGTTGACTGCAAGCTAAAGGATGTTATGGTGATAAATGGGCAATATGATCAGCTACAATGGAACCACGTTCACAGTTAATAATATTTTGAGAATTGAACACACATTAATTTCACTTTACAATTCATGTCACGCTAAATGTTTAAAAAAATATAAATAAAATTTATGAATTTCATATCTGAAAAATAAGAGAATTTTAAAAAATTTATAAGTATTGATCTTGCAAATCTCTTTAAATTAGTTTTTTGGAAAAGGGATAACAACATATTCTAAAAATGATTTTAAATAAGAATATGGTAAAAAGTATTGTCAAATTAAAACTATTTAATATTTAATGTTTCTTTTCTTGTGTTTTTTTTTCATAATTTGTAAATTAAATTTAAGTAACATTCTATTCCGTTACAATAGTACATTAGTTAATTTTTGCACCAAGAATTAGTTAGTCACCCCATCTTATTAAATTTTTTTTCCAGCTGTCATGATGACCATATATACTAGCACAGCATATATATAGGTGGAGGTTGGTGGTCTACCAAATGGTTCATTTGGGTGAAAAAGGAAGCATTTTGACTGAACAAGTACCAGGAAATTAGCATTTCCTGAACTGATCAGTGATCATACATCCCCCTTGAAAAGCATAGGACTAGGGATTCGATACCATTTCCAAAGCCTAACGCAGCTTGACTTCTTCAAAAGGCCTACAGAGTACAGACTCTAGGTACATCGATCCCCTGAAGAAAGAAGGATACTAGTACTACCGCAGAGCTACACGGCTGGGATTTGTTTGTGGTCTTGTTAGCCTTTCAGTCCTACAGCCCTAGCACTTGATCAAATGTTGTTTGAGCATTGCTACAGGAAGAGTTGATCCCTACTTTTTTTCCTTGCTAAGAATCTCTCTTTGGTGTTCATTTTCTGAAAGATTATAATTTGGTGTTCATTAGTATAGAAAGAATTACAAGTCATCCTGGTTCAAAGTAAAATAATAAAGAATAAATAAATTATAGAAGGTCAATTTTGTTCTCCACTGAATTTCTATACTATGTTCATCTTCCATAATTTATTTATTCTTTATTATTTTCGTTTGATCAAGGATGAATGGTAATTGCCATATATTGCCTTTATTTTGGATATCACAAAGGATTATTAGTCCCTAGTACCGAATCAGGAGGAGTCAATTTAAGGGTGGAATGGCAAAATAAAAAGAGAGAAAGCAAGAGCTTCCATTTTCAGATTCAAAGTATGCCTAAATCCTCCCTCTAGACTTTTCTGCCTGAGCCCGGATTTGCTACCTACCACTGTCACTGTAGTTTTACTACTAAAATATTATACTTGCAAAGTAAAACGGAAGTCTAAAAAATGTAGACAACTTTTATACTTCATTGTATCTGCACCACAAATTAGCTCCATCGCCGCTTGTATTCCATTTTGTACTTCTGCTGGAATCCCATTTTTTCTAAGACAGAATCTGACAACAGATGATAGCAAATGCTGTATTGGAGAAGACCGGATGAAGAGTGACAGCCATAAAGCCTCAGTCTCCCGATAATGATATGAATATGATCCAAATGTAAAGACAACAAGCAGAAAAGTAAAGGCAAGGTACATCTACGCTAAATTAGACACTTGATTAGCATTTAGCAATGGACTTAGGTTTTCTATATTGTGGTGATGGTGATGTCAGTGTAATTGAGACATGAATGGAAAAGACAGAAACCGTAGGAATTCCGTTTATTTTTGGGACGTCTTCTGTCGCTTCTGGTGAACATGTATCAAATAGGCCAAGCAGAATGACTTGATAATAAGAAACGTGAGATATTACAGCTGCAAAGGAAAGGCATCCTCGAATTGCGGATGAAGAATTATTTAGAAAATTGGTTAATATTGGTTTCTTTCATTTTGGAGTAATTAGCTCTCCAAATTTATTGTTATTTCCTACGTACTAAGATTCTCTTACATCATGCAGGTTTTGGTCTCCACAAGAATTTCAGCAGTTAAATCTCTTACAGAGTAATCTAAGATCGAACAGGATTTCCATATAACAGAATGTTCAAGTGGAAAAGGAATTAGAAGTGGCACAGGTTCAACAAGAATCATATTATGCAGAACTGACTGTGTAGGTGTTTCAACTTTCAGTACATTTCAGCACATGCCCTATCACACTCACTACAAAACAAAGCATACTTATTTTCACTCACTTATTATCTCAGATTCCATATTTTATTTGTTCTTCAATTTGCTTTATCACCAGCATTCATAGAACTTGATATCGACTTTGAGCCTGAAATACACTTCACCTTCAAAGGCATCGGTCGTCAAAGTTGTAACTCCCCTGTGCATGAAAAAGTCTCCAGTGCCACCCACAACTGAAATGTCTCTGGTCTTCTGCATCAGGGGATCAGCTCCAATGAAATTTATGGTGCCCTGGTAGTTTGTGCTGTTGAGAACAAATGAAAAGCCTAGCCAAGCGGTGAGGGTGTTTTTGGTATCATAAATGTACATGCCTTGAGCCCTGCCAACAGGCTTTGAGTGAAGGTTGTTGTCCAGGGTAATGGGATCATCAAAAACTGCTATGTTCCCGAAATGGAACTGACCTGCCAGGATGGTCAGGTTAGCACCTTGTGGTGCTGCAACAATGGCGGATGTGGCATTCTCCCTGTTCTGGCCATTGTAAATTATGTCATGGAAGTAGAGAACCAAGTGTTTGCATGGTTTGTATTGCTTATTCTTGAATGGATAGGCTGAGGATACAGCAAGAAGCATGAAAAAAGAAAGAAGAATGCAACTTTTTGATGCCATTGCTTCTATATCTGGTCACAGAAGAAATAGCAAACAAAAGAGAGTGGATCTTAAGGAATGAATTCTAGTTCTGCTAGCAACTGTGAGGTTTACTCTCCCTCACTTCCCTCTATATAGAGCCTGCTTCATGGATTTTGCGTGGAAGACTGGAAGTAGTTGGTAAGAGCACACCAATGTCAATCTCATATTCAAAGTGTCACAGCATCTCGTGCCTGCTATGCAAAAATCGTTGCCATCAATCATCCATTTAGACTTTTCAGCTTAAGCTCGAATCTGCTACCTACTACTATCCGATAAGCATAATCGTTAAATTAAAATATGAGGTACATAATGTGTTGAAATTTTACTTTTTAATATCAAGTATCATATTATGAAATATCATAAAATTTTTAAAATTAATTATAAATAATATTTATATATAAAAAATAAAGAAAAAATGAAAAATATTATTTTTTTAACAAAATTAAAGATTATAGGAAGTAAATTGAAAAAATAATTATTTTTTTTAATTTAAACTTTCAACATATTTCTTAATAATATAGATTTTAAATAAATATACATTTCTTATATTAATTTATTAATTAAAAATTAAAAACATTTATCAGGTTAAAATTTAAAAGGAATTTGACTTTTTTAGTATTTTTTTGTTTGAATCTAAAAATTAAAACTCATAAAATATAATTTTTTATGTTTCAACTTAAAAAAAATAAATTTTTTAATAATTAATTAGAATTAAACTTATAAGAAGTGTATCAATTATCTCGTAGATACGTCTTATATTGTAAGACACGTATCATACGATATGCTTTCGATACTTAATCCAATCCAATACTTAATCTAATCCGATACAATTATAAATATGTATCGTTCTTTATTAATATTATATCATATCATACGACACGTATTGCGTATCGTGTAAAAATGATAATTATGATTATAGATACACTATTAAAAAAATAAATGAGCAAATTCAAACAGAAATCTAAAAATTATTGATAACATTTATATTTCACTCCATTTGTTGGACTATCTCTCCGCTTGTATTGATTTTATTATTAAGCAAAAAAGAAAAATGTCGGCAGCTTCCACCCATAATCCCAGTTTTCTTAAGCCAAAATCAACATACGATAGCCTCAATGTTAGCGACTGATGACTATCACGGAACTTACGTACAAAAGGCGACAGATTTAGAGTCAGCTTCAATTATGATATGAACATGATCCATGTGGAAAGGCAACAAGCAGAAATGTAAATGTGTAACAGCAACGTGGGAAACTTGACAATGGACTAATCTTTTGGCTTAGAACAAAGAAAATGAAGATATTGAAGAGTTTAAGATGACATGCATGCCAGGCAGAATGACTTGGATATGAAACGTGAGAAATTAGCTGCAAATTATCATTAATGGTGTCCCAGGAACTTTTGGAACATATACTTGGTTCTCCCTATTCATTGCTATTTCCTTTGACGTTCTCCTACATCATGTTGGTCATCTTGGCGTCCAGGGGCAAACTGAACAATCAAAACTTAATTAGAAATTCTAGCTTTGAATCTTGGGAGTGAGGATTGGGGCTTTATTATTTGATGAAATGATTAGATTATTTCCAATTGGTGTAGTTCAAGATCCAGTTGGAATTTTTACGAAATAATATAGTAATTGTTCAACCATATCCGAAGCTAGAATTCGTAGGCAACTCCAACTCCACCTCCATCCTGTCAGATCATACAAGTAATTTTTTAGTCCATAATATATTTATGATTACGCAATGAAAGTCAATGTAAGTTAGCATTTGGGTCCTGCCTAAGAAGGTGCAAAGGGGTCCCTTCCGATTATTGAGTTGTCTCAATTATTTCATTTTTGCTTTCCATGGAAACTCTGGGGGGAAAAGATTGGTGGAGTAGGTGTGTTCGATTTTGATTTTTGGTGACAAACCCACTTTGCTTGTTCTTGGTTGGTGAATGAAATCTTCTTCTCAAGGCTGCAGGTAAGATTCAAAGAAGGTTGGCTTTTCTTAACAATGCGCCAATGGCTACACCGACAATCACACACTGTTGAAAACTTCCAAGCCACAACATTATGGAAATCAGGACTGGTGGGTAACTTGGCAGAAAAGTTGCGCATCAGGGGCCAATATGATTGTTAATAAAGATTGAAAGGCATGATTCAGATAATAAATAATTTTACAAAAATGGCTTTGCATGGAGGAAAGGAGATTAAACAATCATTAAAGAAAAATCAAAACCAGTTTGCTTGATTCTACTCAACTCGACTAACGCAATAATTAGGTGATAACAACTAACAAATTAAGAAATTGAAAACCCTTTGGGGAGTAGGTATGATAGGTCTAAAGTCAAAAGTGGTACCACAATTCAGCTAGAAAGACAAGATTGCTTTGATTGGTTACTATATCCATGATAATTGGTTGGATAAAAAACCTTTCCAGTACATGGATAAAAAGACTTAAAGCCTATTTAGCTTAGTTTTTTTTAATTTAAAAATTATTATAAAGTTTTTATAAAAAATAATAACTTTTAAAATTAAGCTAAATCTGTTTGGTAAATTTACTTTTATAAATAAGTTATTTGATAAAATAATTTATATAAATTTTAATTTTGATTAAAATTACCATAAAAGGTATTTAATAAATAATTTTCTATTAATCACGAATTTCTTTGTTCATAATGAAAAAAAGTTAATTTTAGTTTTTTATTTATGAGAAGTATAAAAAGTATTTTTACAAAACATAAAATTTATAATTAACAATAAATTATAAAAAAATAAAAATAGATAATGTTTGAATTATTTTTAATAGATGAGAATATTTTTGAAATGAAAAAAAAAATTTCCCAAAAAAAAAACGTGTTTTTAAAAAAAGAATAGAGAAAGCTCATTCCTGAAACTTTTTCTAAAGCTTTTTTTTTCAAAATTTTATTTTTTAAAAAAAATTATTTATCTTTTAAGAGTTTTTTCAAATTTTTGTATGATTTGATTTTTATTTTTAAGAGATAGATAAATTGAAAAAAAAATCAAACTAAATAAGTACTAATTAGAATTATAAATTAGTTCTAATTACATGGTTAGTGAGAATATCCATGGGCTGGGTAGGTATCCCGTTTGAAGAAACTGATTTAGGCCGAGGGTCGCCTCTTAGCAAACAGTGGAGAAAGCTTCTGTTGGTTGGCCAACATAGCCCATTTGAAAAGTGGGTTTAGAGCCATGAGCCCATAGAAATTGCTGTAATACTAAGGTCAGGAGTGCTCAGCTAGGCTCTTTTTCATACTCTCTACCATTTCATCACAAAAGATATAAATGCCCTTATTGAAGTCACATTGCAATAGCACACGTAGGATATATGAAGAACACAAACAGATTCATACAGCTTGACCTCCATCTTAAAGCGAAAATAATAGTTATCTTGAACAAAGTCAGGATGAATTGAGAGAATCCCTCTGGACATGAAAAAGTCTCCCGTTCCTCCAACGATGGAGAGATCCCTAGTCTTTTGGCTAAATAGATCCGCACCCATTACGTTCAAGTTCCCTTATGTTCACTGGAGTTGAACACCAAACTGAAAGCAAACCAAGCATTGTACTGCGTTTTGCCATCGTAGAAATAGAACCCTTGCGCTCACGCAGCCGGGGGAGAAAAAAAGCTGTTGTCTTTCGTCATAGGATCGTCGAAGATCACCAACATGCCATAGTTGTAGTTGCCAAAAGCAGTGGCGTTGAGGACCGCAATGGACGTCACGTTAGGCCGCTAAAGCGGTTGTCATGGTAATAGAGAGAGAAGCGGTTGCATGGTTCCCGTTGTTTCAATTTTTTTCTGGTGGCTAAAACCGATTGAGACATGAGGAAAAGGGTGACGAACAGAAGACACCAATATGACTTCTGTAGTGGAGCTCCAATGGTTAATCAAGATAGCAATCTTCCTGCTTTAATTTGCTGCTTCAAAAGCCAGCTGAATTATATATATAGAGCAATTCTAGAGGTTGGTGTATATCATAATTTGGTGGGAAATGCTTGGGGCAGATAATCGTGCATGCTAACATCATTGAAGTAAATAAAGACATTAAATACATTTCGTCCATTTTTATTAATATCTTGGTTAGGAAAATTAATACTATTTGAGGAAAGCATGGGCATTAAATTTAATGAGGGCTCAAATTTGACTTGCAGATTGGACAAAACCAAGTTTGTTCACCGTGTTATTTGGGAAGCATTTCTTTTGCTGACTTCTTTATCAAAAAAATTTGAAGATCTTCGTACATTGTCTCATGTATATAAATAATTTCTCATGCCTGGGTTTTTAAATAGAGACTACCGCTGCTGCTCTGCTAGCACTAGTCCATAGCCTCCCTTAACAGCTTAAGTAGGAGATGCTTAATTAGGTAAAAGTTGAAGTCAATCAAACAGGACTTATTCAAGCTCCTGCGTCATCGCCCCACTTTGGGTCAAGGATATTCCGGTTAGCCGGAATGTTGAACTGAGCCAACTTAGCATGAGAATTTTTTTGTTTGTCTGTTTGTTTACAGAGGAATCTGGAGAAAGACCATTTTTTTGATATCAGGAGTTCCCATTTGATCATGGCGGTTGCTGAGAATGCTGGGGCAAAATCCGGGTCATCAGGTCAAAAATTGGAAAATACTGTACTAGAATCCATGGGAAGTGAGATGCATCTGCCAAAAATCAGGGGAAAAACAGCAATTCTGTCTGGGTTGACTAGTGAATATTATTGTTAGTATGATGCTCTTCCTGTTTATTAAATTATTCAGACAATTCATAATTTTATGAAAATGGCTTTGCATGGACAAAGGAGAAACCTAATCATGAAGACAAGTCAAAATGAGTTGCTTGACTAGATAATCTGAAAATTGATTAAGTAGCTAGCTAGCCAACTAGACTAAAGCAAAAACCAATTGGTAACAACTAACTAATTAAGAAATTAAGAAAAAATTAAAAGTGCTCCCACAATTCCACTAGAAAGACAAGATTGCTTTGATATTGATTACTATATCTATGATAATGATTGGACAAATAATCTTTTTAATTAAAACGTGTCTATATATATAAGTTTTCTACCATTCAAAAAATTAAACGAATCGCTTGCATGGTTGCTGTGGTTTCAACCTTTTGCTAGTAGCCACGACATGTTGAGATATGATCAGAAGGAAAAAGAGAATGGAACACGTTTTCTCTACATGATCTCTTATGGCTAAAGGTTTAGTGAAGCTACCTAGCTAGCCTTGCTTGCAGGCTATATATAGAGAGCAGTACCAGCGGTTAATATTTGTAATTTGTTGCTTAAAAATGGTTGTCGTTTTTCTTCCACCTATCACCATGGAATCTATTCCCATCGATATGCTCGTGGCTCCATTAATGAAATCAGCATCTCTTGTTGAGGTTAGTCATGTTCCTCGTGTATATGATTTCATTGGTGCTTTAAGTCAATGACAGTAACGATCACATTAGTCTTCCAAAAAAAAAAAGGGCTCATTTTGATCATTAAAAATTAAAGAATAATATGAGACAACGACTGTTTATTACGAAGGAAACAACTGTTGAAGCCAAATCAGCAGGCAGGCAGGACCTTTTTTCACATTAGCAAATCCTTTGGACCACTACAGCTGACAGCTCCCATGGAATAACTAGACATGATATTCCCAACGGCTTGTTGCCTGATTCGATGTACTGTCAGCTATCAAGACAATGGCATTTTCATTTCTTTAACATGGTAAAATGGAACTTTCTTGGATCCCGCACCGCACTGCAACCTGCATACGCACTGAATATACAGATCCATACAGATTCAGTGTCTCTGGACCGTACGTTCAAACGTACCTTAAGTTGTTCTACAGACAGTAGACAATGAAATTTTGGATCAAGGGTTGAGTTTTGCACTTTGGGTTCTATTTTCGGATCAGAGACGCAATGGAAATCATTTTATCAATGTTGAAAGAAAGAAACTGGGGCATCTGGGACATCTTCGTTACTTTAATTCTGAAGCTAGGTAGAACACAGTAACTATGCACGTTCTGCATAGCTTGCACACCCCGTCACGTTTTTGTTAATTTAAACGGGACGAAATATTGTTGTTAGAATGTCGAACCAAGAATCCAGTTGTTCTATGTCGACCAGGCAACCAATTTACGAAGAAAAGAAAAATTATTGCAACAGGATGGGAAAGGAGTGCTGGTCTTTTGTCGTGGGATCATCGAATACCACAAGCATCCGAAGGTTGAAGTTCCCTAGCTTACTCATATTGGTAGCTGCGGCTGATGTGGCATTAGCCATGTCATCGCCGCCGAAGAGGATGTCATGGTAGTAGAGAACGAATCGTTTGCATGGTTTTCGTGGATTCAATGCTTTTTTGGCAGCCCAAACAGAGTGTTGAGATACAAGTAGGAAAGAGAAGCCAAGGCAACATGATTTCCCTACAAGAGATCTCATGCCTTATTGAGGCTAGTTTAATTGACGCTTCGTGGTTGATAAAACGTAATCTCTTCAGATATATATATATATGTATGTATATATATATATAGACAGAGAGAGAGAGAGGAGCAGCTGCTAAATACTGTTATTTGTTACTCACACGAAAAGAAGAAAGCATGCTGTCCTTTTCTGCTGAGTATTAAGTTGTCTGGAAAATATACTTGCCCAACGAATCTTTTGTGGCCATTTCATTGTAAGATAAATGCTTAAGACAGTAGTAGTTAAATCTATTAAATCAGCAAAGCTTGAAGCTTACACGGAGGGGTTCAGAAAAGACAGCCGCACAACTGATAATTTATTACAATTAACTAATTTATAGCTTGATTAGGTTTTGCTAATTATAGATCTTAGTTCAAAGGAAGAAGAAAAGAACGAAAGTTTCAAAGTGCTTACGAACTTGTTTAGATTACAGACCAATTGTTTACTTGAAAGTAACAGCATGTTGATTCAAGTTTATTTTACTTAGTCTTTTCTTAATCTCCCATTAACATTTAATTAGTCTTTTCTTAATCTCCTTTAAACCTCTTATTGTTCCGCACTTAAACCATCTAGCATTCTCTTTGGACAATGACACGCATTAGGATTGTCATCTCAGAATAAGAAGTACTATGTTTTCAAGATTTCACTCTCGAATCCAAACGACAGAAATTAGTTGATATATAATATGATCTAAAGTTTAAATTATTGTTCTCTCTCCTTGAGAGAGAGAGAAGCAAAACACAAAAACACAGAAGAGGGTTGATAAACCCAGACCTTCATATTAATGCACTTCAATCTAATGAAGAAAGGCCACAACTGGGTGCAGGGTCAAGTCAATTTCAAGGAACAGACACAAGAGGAGAAACACAAGCCCTGCAGACAGCCAAGCACTATCTTCGACAAGCTGGGTCATATTTGTAGAGAGGGGCTGTAACTCATCACTGTCCCAATACTTTTATTCCCCGTTATTTAGTCAGCAGTGCTACCCCTCTATGCAAACTTGCTGAAGAATGCAAATCCAGTTTCCCTCGATGCATTAGGCAATCTTCAGTCGGACCCTACAGATACACATTTTCATTCGTTGGTATCTTTACTTTCCCCATGGCTCAACCGGATTCCACTGCTAACTAGCTATACTTTCCCACTCCATTACAAGTCAGTCGTTTTACTCCAGCAATTAGCAGAAACAACAGAAGCCGATCCTATGCTTGCATTGTAGCTACATATCCAAACACCACTAGAATCTCTTAATAATCAGCCAGGAATAGGCACCAAATGTATCGTGGCAGACTGGCAGTATCAACAGCATTCAGCCTAGCAAAAATAGATTTTCATTCCTTTCATCCTGTTTGTGAGAAAGCTTCTCAATTACTTCACTCCCCTCTAATTCAATCTCTTTAGCATAGTTACTAGCTCTAATCCGGATTCTTTGAATTCAAGAAATTCCTCAAGCATTTCAATGTCAGTAAGAGAACCCAAATCAAGGTTGAAAAGCACATCCATGTGCAGTAAAGTTACTTTAAGTACGTAAATTGTACATGGAAATTCAACAATTAGAAAAATAGATACATTTCAATTCAAGTAAAGAAATACATTTATCAAAACTATTCAAAGAAGGATAATATAACTTTCAAAAGTATGGCTACAAAACAAGATTAGTTCTCACCAATCTCGAAGTTCCCCAAGCTCCTAGAGAAGCCAAGACTTGTCCGAATCTTTGCCATGCCACCAAGAAACTCACCAGCTAAACTAACTGCCATATTGTTCCTCCAATCATCATCAGGTTTGTAGTTTTGCATGATGAACCAATTTATCAATCGCTTGAGGAGTTTCTCAAAAGACAACAAATTGTTTTTTCGTTCTCTTACACTGAATAGGGCCCTGTTTTAATAGTTGGAGGTTCCTCACATCGAATCCTAGTGACTGATTGTCAGAGCATAAATTTCTTGGAAAATCTTGCCTACTATCCACTTGCATCCTTGTTACGAAGCCTATAAACTATACGTCCCTTGGTTGAATCATAAGGACTCAATTCAACTCTAACTCTGTCTCCAGGCAATACTCGTACGAAATTTTTTCGTATCTTTCCAGAAAGATAACCTAGAATTAAATCTTGATTGTCTAAAAGAACTCGAAACATACCATTGGGAAGTGATTCAGTAATTAAACCTTCATGAACAAATTTTTTGTCTCCCTGCTTTGCCACAGTTTTCTCGATCTTACTTCTCACAACCCTATCATTATCAGGGCCCCTTGAACTCGCCTTCTTGCAAGTTATTCTTCTCGTTGTCGACACCTTTTTCAGATTGAATTTTACCCTGCTACTGAAACAAAGAATGGGCTTTTAAGGTGTTAGTTTTACATAGTTTGCAAACAGGATTTTAAGATTCAAATTCTAGATATTTCATCATCCTTGATGACAGATAGGTTACCTAATGTATCAGTTGCATCAATTAACAGACAAAATGCTTTAAACCCATAAGATTCCATCTGGGTTTTGGATTAAAAACCTATCTTTACACTCAATTAACAAAATTGATACAGTAAGACACAAAAACCACCAACCAACTTCAAAACTAATCAAACCCATATATGCTGCTGTACTCAGAAGTAATATAGACAAAATAAAACGATTAACAAATTGGTTTTTAGCAGTGAATTGAAAGAAAAAAAAAAGGGCATAAATTTCAGAGTAACTTAAACAAAAATGATGGCCTACTTGATGAAAAAGCAACTGGAAACCGTATTTTGGCGAGGAAGAACCAGAGAGGGAAACGGAGGATAAAGATGGGAGCAGAGGGAAGCCATAATCTCAAAACCCTAACTCACCGTAAAGCGGGAATGGCTTTCAATCCTCCCAGACCTGATGTTATCCGATTAGAGTTATTCAGTGTGGCAGGGTGTAAGTTTTTTAAGTTACACTTCCAGATAAAACAATGACACATCGGCTGTTCCCGAAATTCCATTTCGTTTAACTTTATTAGAATTTTTATTTTTTCCACGGTAAATTCTTTTCTTTTATGCGAAAACCCTTTTCTCTCTTGAAAAGGAAAAACGGTTTTTTTTCCTTTTCAAGAGAGAAAGGAAAGCACACTTGTTTCATGGTGGCCTGAATTGAACCTAAAACTTAGAAAGGGTCAACATTAAACATTAATTGATATATATATATATATATATATATTGATTGAGAGGGAAAGAAGGTCTTTGGCAATAGATGAACCTTTTGATATGTTCTTCAACTATTTCATGTAAAATCCATACTGAATAGACATTATAAGAAGCAAGAAAAACAATGTGAATAAAACTATACATATATATATGTATAACTAAGTAGAAAGAATTTTCAAGGTTCTATTTAACATTTTTTTTTTGGCTTTGTGTACGGAAAATTCATCTACATTGTGTACTCATCGGGACAAAAAGTTCGGACGATGAGATTTAGTTGGATTCTGAATCTTTGTCAGGTGATTCTTGCTCCATGTCTGAAGCCAAATTCAGAGACACACGGCCATGGTACTGTTGAACAACTAAGACTGATGCTGTCGTTGAGAAATCTGGAGAAATCAGTAAACTACCTACGGGCCCCAGTTCTTGGCATTCACTTCTCCTCATTAAAGCCAAGGCCAATTCACCATCAGGCATTCGCCCTACGAGAACAAGATTGCAGCGGCTTGCCTCATGAATTGCAGCATAGGTTTCTGTGGCATTTCGGACAGCCTTTTCTTCATATCTTATAGAGTCATCATTTGATATTTTCTGCTTAAACTCGGAAAGAAATTCTTCATCCAATGACATTGATTTGCGGTCGGAATTCTCTTGCATATCAATCCTAGCAATTTCTCCAATAGTTTCAGGTCCCACTACAAAGCGAATAACATTTAAACTGATACCTGGGTGCTCTGCCATTCGAGCCCCATAAGCAAGGGCTTCACGATCATCACAGCCCCCAAAGAAAAGAACTGTCATCGAAAGGGAAACATTGCTTGCAGATACATGGGTGGTTCCACCAAGCCCACGATCAACAAGAATTCCGACGGAACAAGGCGCACGTTCAAGAACCCTCTGATTCACCCAGCGGAAGTCTGTCCGAGTAGTCTCAAAAGAACCATCCATTCTCTGGTGCTTATGGAATGGAAGAATTATGATCGCAGCTCTCTTTCTCTCAGCAGTGGTACAGATGTCCTCATGCATGTCAGCCATTGAAGAGATTGAAGTCATTGAACGGACAGTTACTTGACTCAGTTGCTGGAAAGCTTCAAATGCCACAACAACATGGTCAGAATCTGAATGCCGACTCTTATTCCAGAAGGGAAGCCCATTTTTCCTTGCCTTGTGTACCATTAATATAGCTGATGACCTCTCAGATAGTTCCATAAGGTGCAGAGCATACACAGAAAATCCTTCACGCTTCCCTACGCCTCGCGAAGCCTCAAGGAGATTTATCATCGATGGGATATTTCTTGCACTGTGGAAACAGGTCAATATTCTAAGTTGAGTATCTGGATTTTTTCTTTCAATGGTCCTATGCTTGTAGTCCACTTTTCTGCTTCTTGCAGGCTTATATACAGCCATAACAATTGGCGTGGTAATGAAGGTAGTGAAGAGAGCCATTAGAACCATAATAGCAAATGTCTGATCATTCAGAACCTGAAAGTGAAAACAGCCAAAATGCATCATTTATTTCATAAAAACCATAATGAAATAAGGCAATGACTCTAGTCACTACAGGAGGAAAACTCAATTTACCTTTCTATCCCTCCCAATGTTCAGAACAATGAGTTCAACCAGCCCTTTAGTATTCATAAGGAACCCAAGCGCAAAAGCCTCACGAGGAGGAACTTTGCAGGAAAGGGACACCACAACAGTCCCAACAATCTTCCCAAAACATGCTGTAAATATCACACAAGCCAGAAGACCCCAGGATTGAAGCCCTTGAATTGTTGCAATGTTTGTCTTCAGTCCACTTGAAACAAAGTATAGTGGCAAGAACAAACCAGATACAAGATCCTCAACTTTTTCCACAAGAGCACCAGCAAATGGCCCTTCCTTTGGGAAAAGAACTCCAACCACAAAAGCACCAAACATGGCATGAATTCCAATAGCATCAGTTACAAACCCGGCAGCCAGAACAGCAGCTAATGTTGCACATATGTATATCTCTTCTACTGGCTCACCTTCGTGGCATCGATGAGCCATCCATTTCAATATTGGGGGAACAATGAAACTCAAACAAATGACAAAAACACACCCAGACAAAAAGACCCACAGTGATACAACGGGAGAATTGTTAGATCCAGAAAGGGCGACAGCAAGAGCAAGTAGAATCCATGCAGCTACATCATTAACAGCTGCAGCTGACATAGCAATTCTTCCAACATTCTGTCGTTAAAAGCTTCAGCTCTGCCAGAATGCGGGCTAAGACGGAAAGGCAGTAATAGAAAGAGCAACACCCATGAACACAAGAAATGCAGAAGCATTTACACCTTTTGATATAGTTGCTTTGAGCAAAAATGAAGAGCCAATTCCCAATGCAAAGGGAAGCCCTATTCCAGCAACAGCAATTGCAAGGGCTGTTTTTCCAGTTCGACGGAGGGCTTTAAGATCTATCTCTAGACCAGCAAGGAATAAAAAGAAAATGAGACCAATGTTTGCTAGAGTATCCAATACAGTGAGACTCTTGGGTGGAAATATAGCTTGCAAGTAGCTCTTGCTTCTACCCAGAACAGATGGCCCAAGTAAAATTCCTCCCTGGTAGATGAGCAGTGAAAATTAAATCAATAGAACATTGTGTAACTTCTAGACGCTAGAGTAATTTTTTACTTAAAACATCTAAAAAACTTGGAAATGTTTTTTAAATTTGAGATGGAAAAACTATTGAAGCGGGAAACTATAAACTTTTTGCCATAATTTGACATCAGATATACTGATAACTACACATAAATAACACTAACATGGGAAATCAATACATGGATATGTAGAAGTTTGAACATAGAAAGGAACTCACAATGATCTCTGCAATCACACGTGGCTGCCTTATTGGCCTTAGAAGAAAAGCAAGGCCCCTTGTTAGTACAACTACCAGACATATCTGCAGAATGGCAAGAGGAAGTGCATAATCAAGGGGGTTATCACCCTGGAAGAGGCCATTTGATGTAGCCTTCATTGGCGATGGACATTTCTGTCCAACTGTAGCATTAGAAGCCATTGCACTGGTACAATACTAACAAAAAAGAGCACTTCACACTTCAGTTCCAGCAAAGAGATATACCTTGAGATTAGGTGGAAAAAATGCCAAATAAACAGAAGGAGAAAAGGGGAAAGTTTTATCATTTTCTTAAACATGAGTTAGTTCATGTGAGATGGTGACAGCTTAGCATAAAAAATGAAAATTACGACAAAATAAGATAGTATTTAAATGCAGGAGAACTAAAGAAGAAATTTAAAGCAAGCTATGCACCTGAAATAGATAAGCAAATTTGATCTAGTAAAGACAGGAACAAATTCACTTTATTGTTCTTCTTTCGAGATATTTCAAGTCTTTTTTTTTTTTTTTGATAAGCTTTCAGGATATTTCAAGTACTGCAAAGTATGGCAATCTGATTTGCTCTCCTTTCTTTTCCTCTACTTATAAGCAGCCAAATATGAATCAGAAATGGGGTTAGAAGCCAAGGTGATAAAATCAAATAATAGCATTCGAAACAGAAAACATAATACCAGTAAAAATATGTTACTGTTTCATTAGTGAGAAAGTAAGAAAAACCAAGTTAAAAAAATGAAAAAGAAAAAGACAGCCTCTAGCTCTAATACCATAATTTGATCCACTTAACCTCCCTTGGGGCTAAGATATGATTTCAAAACAAAAACATAGGAATTATTTTGCAAAAATTTGAAAATTGGAAGGAAGAAACTTACTGAAATTATGAATAGATATGTATGAAGAGCTCCAACTTTATAAGGTATTTATCCAGAATTCCTACAAAAAGAATAAATAAATATGAGTAAACAGTATAACTGAAGCAAGCAATAAAAAAAACAATAATAATAATAAAGAACAATCTGAGTCTAGATCTATGAAGCAATTGAGACCGAATTCCTAATGGTAAAATGAACAACTAAAAAAAAGGTTTCAATTTTAAAAAATAGCTTAATCTTTTAACAAATAATTT